TCGAAAAATGACGTTTTTAAGGAGAACATCACGAAATTTTCCGTTCATTATTTCTGTTGAATTCTCTTTGCGAAAGCAAAAAGCCCCTTCTGACACACCTGAAGCTCCTCTTACATTTTATTCAGCAGCATAATCATCTTTTGGGAGAACATTATATCATGTAAATGTGTGTAAGGTTTTGGAATTTTGATTTTGCCACGGGGTGTCAAATGAAGAAAAATGATGTTTTTTTATACAAAAAGCCCCGTCTTGCTTATAAACTCCTATTTCATTTTAAACATTGGCCTAATCCTCTTTTGGGAGAGTTCACTCTTTTGAAATTTTGGTAAAACATCAAGGTCAAGGGGTAAAAAATCATAGCATGTTGGGAAACATCTTGTTATGGATAATGTACACTTGAAATGTGAAAGTTGTAACTCTTCTCAATCAAAAGGAAATACAACATTATTAAAAAGTAAGTTAAACTTCAAGGTCAAGGTCACAGAGTCAAAAAGTCATGATACATTTGAAAAGGTCTTATCACAGGTAATATACATGCATGTACAATATGAATGCCCTTTTATTTATCTTTCAAAATGATCAATTTAAAACAATTTATTTGTTTATGACAGTAGGTCAAACTTGAAGGTCATGGGTAATAAAAATCATAGTGTATTTAGGAAGGTATTGTCCCAGTTAAATACTAATACACATGTTTAATATAAAAGTCCTGTCTCTTCTCATTCAAAATATATGACCATGATGACCAAGGTTAAATTTATTGTGACAGATGGACAGACTGACAAACAAAGGAGATTTAATGTCCCCTACCTTTAGCGAAAATGGGGGACAATAAAGCTTGCTGTTCTTGAGAAGAAGATTTATGTTGGAAAAAGTCCCCTGCATATTTACATGTAAATTGGTTGAAATTGGCCCAGTGGTTCTTAAGAAGTTAACAATGTGAAAAGTTTGCAGACAAACAGATGGACGACAGAAAACAGTACATTTCAGAAAACAGTATGCTTGTAAATAGTTAATCAAGGTGCTTTGGGTAGCAAAATAAAGCTAAACTGGTATATCTAAATATCTATTTTTTCATCTGGTATTATAAAAAGAGAGTATATTTTAATATGCACAACCTTTTCAACTCTATAATAATTATTTTTAAAATATTTATATCACCATGTCTGATTCAAGGGATAATTTGGAAAATATTACCAAAAGTATATCTGTTGAATATAAAATATGTACATGTATACTGTGTTTTCTTTTAGTAATTTGTTTGTTGTGACAGCAACTATTATGGCAGCTTTTGGCAAAGTTAAAAGTTTCTCAAATGTAAGTCAAACTCCAAGGTCAAGGTCAAAGGGTCAAAATTGTTGATATCAAAGGGAAAGTCTTTCACAAGGAATACACATGTGAAATAAGAGAGAAATCCCCAGTACTTCCTCACCTGTTCAAAAGTTATTGCCAAGGTTAAAGTTAAATTGGGTTCAACTCTTAGGTCAAGGTCAAAAATATTTATACCTGTTGAAAGTTCACAATGATTACACGTTAAGCATGAAAGTCCTAGCACCAACTGTTCAATACTTAAATTAGGCCAAGTTGGCCAAGTTTAAGGTATTTTGCTTGTAAAAAAGGGTCAAACTCCAAGGTCAAGAGATTAAGAGGTCAAAATTGGTGGTACCCATTAAAAGGTTTTGCCAAAAGAAATTTACCTATGAAATGTGGAAGCCACGTGTATAGCCCAATCCACTTAAAACTAAAATATGGGCAAGGTTAAAGTTTCTGTGGACAGACAAACAGACATATAAACACAGGAAACAAAACATGTATATATTTTCAAATGGAAAAATTTTCTACTTTTATAGAGTCATAAGATCAATTGTCATTTCAGGTTACAGGGAGTTTGTGGCTAGGGAGATCAGACACCCCCTCTCCCCTTGAATTTGCAGTTATTTAAATAAGACTATTTACTGGAGAGAATAAAAATGACTTTGGACAACCTCCCCCTTGGAAAACAGGGACCCCACCATCATTGTTATTATTATTATTTTTTATTTGCTTCTCAGGAAATCTTGGGCTGGATTTTTTTTTTTGACTGAGGTGTGACATCCCCCCCCCCCCCATTCCGAAAAAAAATTTCTGGATCTACGCCTGTAATAGTGTATATATATACTGAATGTCCGCAACGGGAGATAACTTGACAATGTGAAATTTGTCGACTGTGGCATGCGATGATCTTTGACCCTTTTTGAACTTCAACCTAACCATTTGTATTTATTTATTTTTATGCAATCTATACTAAATCTTGTACTTACCGAATGTCATAGGTCCTGACAACGAATTCATGAAATATAATCCATATAATCCAATTAAAACACAAATGATTTTAACTGACCACACTGCATCGTCAGCATACATGTGCTAAATAATCTCATATTCAGCAAACCTTTGCTGATTCCGTCGCCTTCATTAGATGAAGTATGAATCGGCCGAGGTGTGCCGAGTGGTGATATCTAGAAATATGATAATGGGTGACGCAAATCCAATGTGAATGTAGAAATTTTCAATAAGATGTTCACAGGTAAAACTGTTTAGTACAAGAACAAATTTTAAACTATCATAATAAACGATGTTTTAACATAACTTTGCCATCTAGGTCTATTTTAAAAAATGTATGAGAGAGAGAGTGTGTGTGTGTGATGGTGAGGGGGGGGGATAGGCATTCACAAATTAATTGGGCTGTATTTTCAATGGTTTTTTTCCCTAAAATAATATTTTATGTGGTTGAGAAAGTAAATTTAAAAAGTTCCAAATTATGAGCAAAATATTTATCAGAATCTAATTAAGTAATTTACTTTATTAAATAAATTCTGTTATTTCAGACTGGTAATGAATTAAGTATACAAAATACATCTATGAGGCTCATAGATCATATGGTCACCTGAAAATTTTATGCTCAGTTTGACGAATGCATGTACGGAGATAATTATAGAATTATTTTGACTTCTTCCTTGGAAAGTCAAATATGAAGGAGTGTGTATTTAGAGGAAAACACCTTAGTGCGGGTATTACTGTCTCATGACAGCATCTAGTTATAGTTCTGCATTTACCCTGATACACAAAGCTATGGAAACTTTGTCTTTTTAAGCTGAATACCTTATAAATCTTTTTTGTGTTATTTTTATAAATTGCATCACAGATTTTAATGAAATCCCTCAACAAAAAACACCCTGTAGAAACGGTTTTCAAATCTTTCAGAAACACATCCAATAGGTCATTCATTATATTTTTGTTTTTGAATAACCCAGGTAAAGGGCATTTGATACTGAGCTCATTCCTTGCACTACCAGAATCTAAAAGCATTTGAAAAATTTCTGAACTTTTGTTCAGTAAAGCCTCTTGTAAAATAACTTTTGAATTCCACGGCAGATCAAAGCCAACAAATTCATCATAACAGGTAGCACCGTAGCGTAACAAAACAGACACTGCTTGTGCATTATTTCTCGATACGGCAATGGCTAACGGAGTTCTTAACTGTGAATCCAAACGATTTACCTTACTACCTCTATTTAAAAGCAAGGCTAACATTTCAATTTTATTAAACCAACATGCTACAAAGCATGCAGTCCACCCCATAACTTCGTCCCTCTGATTCACATTAGCACCCGCTTCTATCAACACATTAGCAATTGCTGAATTGTTCGTTTTTGCGATTTTAAACAGCAAAGGAATACCATATTGGTCACAGCATTGAACATTTCCACCTTTGGAAATTAGTAATCTAACGATGTCTATATGTTCACCTAACACTGCTAAGTGTAGGAGGTCAGTGACATTAAATGATGTATATTTTTCATATAATTGGCTTAGTGTGCTCTTTGGACTTTTGTTAATTATGTGATGGAATAAGAAATAGCAGCCTGTTGCAACTAACCAGTGAGTAAAATTACTACTCTTGTCGTGTAAGACTTCAATCATAGCATGCCTGTTTGTGTTCGTGATATTTTTGATTATTTTTTCTCCCTCTTGCAGTGATGGTGTTAAAGTGTCTGTACAAGGCAAATGCTCTAAATCTTCGACGGAAAATTTATTTTTCTGGAGGTAAGACAGAAAATAATTCACATTATCTCTGTCTTGTAGAGGCTCGCTAAGGAGAACATCACGAAATTTTCCGTTCATTATTTCTGTCTGAATTCTCTTTGCGAAAGCATAATAGGATGAAGGTTTAAGGATTAAAACTTCTTGATCGACTTCGTGACACACCTGAAGCACCACTCTTTCTCTTATAAAGTCACGCTTACAACACTGAAACATTATATCTGGAAAGTGTGTGCCAAAATGACAAGCGATTGTTTCTTCAAGTCTGTCATGAATGAAGAAAAAGGGATTTTCTGATTGGACAAAACTACCTGCTACAGATAGTAGATGCTTATAAAGGCGCTTTCTTGGAACTGATTCGGACACTTCGCATGCTTGTAAAATTAGGGAGAAGTCATTTTTTCTTTGATATTCAATAGTGATATCATAAAATGATTGTAGGGTTTTCGTTTCAAAAATCACGTTCAACACAAGGACACAATAAACTTCCTTATTTTTCTTTTGCATACGATCTAATTCTTCTTTGAAAATGATTGTTGGATTAGAAAAAAACTTAGCTTTCCTTCTGTGGAATTCAGGATTCGAGAAAAACAAATCGCATAATAAAGGGAAAGCGTAATGGCAGCGACAAATCCTCTCAATTTCATCACTGTTAATCTTATCTTGTTTGTTTCGAAGTTTCATTTAATTTCTGAACATTTCTTTCTTTTCGGTAGGAGAAAGTACTAAATCGTTTGAATCAAGATCGACAACTGTTGAATTGAATACCGTCGAAATAGACAGCTCATTTATTTCGTTCTGTAAATGTCGACGCAAGGTACATAAAAGTTTTGCGCTGTTACTCTTAAATATCAATTCAAGACGATTATTTATTCTTTGCCATGATTCTAAAATAACATCATCGACTCTGTATTTACCAATGATATCATCGATGATAAAAAGCTGCTTTCGAGTACTGAATCTCTGAAAAAGAATGTCGCTGGCATAGCTGACTGGTATTATTTCAAACCCTTCTTCTTCAAGTAAGAGGGATACATATCTCATTGTCGCAGACTTTCCGGAGCCAGAATGTCCTACGATCATGGTGGTACTATGGCTTCGTATTTTTTCCAAAACTTTTTCAGTACCCCTGGTATTATAAAAATCCCTTGCATCAGTCCTCCATTTCTCTATTAAATTAATCGTATTTTCTACAAAAAGAAAGAGAGTCATCATATAACTATTGGTCGACACTCGTTTAAGTAAACAACATACAAAATTATACAAACGCAAATTAACAAACAAAGACACACGTCGATAAGGATAATTTGGAAAACAATAGCAAAAAGATTTTTTGAATTATGTAAATTCGATGGCAATGTAGATCCTCCCTTCCAAAAAAAATATAGGGAAGGATATATCATTACAGTATTCAGCAACAGTTTAAAATATCGTTCATCAATATTCCCAGACTCTTCCGTTTTAATGGAAGTCTAGTCTGCTTATTGCAAATTAACTTGAATTTTGCAATTAACTTAGAAGCATCCATAGCTCTCTGCTTTGCAAGAAATTATTAAAAGTTGGATGATCTAGCTTCACCGGAAAGGTGATTCTTTAAAAGTAGCTGATTGGTTATAAATGTGTACAGTAAAGAATGGTTTTACGATTAAAAGTTTACAATGAAAAAAATCTAAAAAGTCCTTTTTTTACATTTGTATTTTTAATCAGTCCTACATGTGATTAACTTACCCCAAAATTCAAAATATCAAACCTTAAATAGATTTAAAGGAACATGACAGACAGAAAGAATTAGAAAAGGCATTTTTTTTTCACTGTCAATATATTTATATAATTTTATACTGTCCATCATTAGTAACCCACCTCTTATGTTTCATTTGTCCTTTTTGTCTTTTCTCTCAGTTTTGTTTAATACAGTAGTTAATGTTTATTATTCTCACATTTTATTTTCGAAAAACGTTAAATAGCTCTTTTTATAAGGAACCCTATTCTTTTATTTTAATTTAACTTTAAGGTTACGGTGATATTGTAATTCTCTTTTCATTTCCAGGACTTCCTGTTGAATTCTACATAGAAGCTCTTCTTTATTGGATCCATCAAATGCAATATCTAACAATTTAGTTTTATCCACAATGGAGTCAGTTCTACCTTCGCTTATTTCACTTAATGCCTAAAAATAAGAATTAAACAAGCTATTTCACACAATCTGTGTCCTCGACTGAAGGAACAAGAAATCTGTAAGCAAATGCTCACTAGTAATACCCCTCTGATGTGAATATAAAAAATCATGTTAATAAACGTTATGACTATATGAACGGAAAAATAGGAATTTGACATCAGAATCAAATAAAATAAATCCCAACATACTGCATGCCAAAGTGTGTTCTTAAATTTCAAGCATCTGTTATGAGTAGTTGCTAAAAAAAATAAATCCGAAAATTGTTAATTTATGAAATCGACATGCACTGACAAACAGGAAGTTGACGTCAAACTTGAAACAAATTAAAATGAATCACACCATATAGCCTCACAAAAGAGTGTGCTTACATATAAATGTCAAGCAACTCGTGACGAAAATTTATTAAGCATGAAACATGCATGAAATGGCATAGGCACGGACAAACAGGAAGTTGACATCAGATTTAAACAGAAATGAAGCCCACCATATGACATGCCCCAGAGAAGAAAATGTAAAAATTTCAAGCACCTTCAATGAGTAGTTGCTAAGAAAACTGCGACGAAAATTTGTTACAGACAGACAGCTAGACGGACAGACACACAAGGGTAAAACAGTATACCGCCACTTTTTCGGAGCGGGAGTATAAAAAAGACAGCGTGGGGATCGGGGGGAGGTCATCGAGAGTTGTGGTGTAAAATGTAATTGCAAAAAACTCAAAAGATTCTTGAGATATCGTCCAAAAATCAAAGTTTTAGACAAACACAGAAATCTCCGCCTCTGGGTCACAAAGCGAGTACTCATCAGATTGAGATATCTTCTTAATTTGTTTTTTTTTAGATAAAGAAATACCACATGCCTTACCTGTTTTAAGGATGACCATATCTTGTTAAATGAGGTTTCATTTACTCGACTTTTTGAAGGATGAGATAGTATGTTCCTGTACACTTTGATTCTTGTCAAATTCGCTCCTAGAGAGTTGTCACTGTCAGGTGGAAGTCTATCCCATCCGGTAATAGGTTCCTGCACAAGCTTTAGGTTTCGTAAAAGGCATATCATCAAGGTAATGTCGAAATCAGCCGAGGATGTTGCTAGGATGTATACGAGAAAATAAGATAAACAACTGTTACATGTACATGTAAATGTAGCCGAGAGATAAGAGTGCTGACTGAAAATTATGTTTACCTAATGACATACTAGTAGGCTAAAAACTTTGAATGTTAAAGACAAAAATAATATTTTGAAATATAAAGAAGTTGCATGCAGGCAGAGAATACTCTATCTCAATTTCAAAGTAGTATAAACTTGTAACTACTACCGACATGGTGGTGCGATAACAGTATACACTTATTTCATGCCTTCTGATTTGGGAAACAGTTTCCCAGGTCTTCTCCATTACCTCAGGACAACAGTTTGACTGTTTCCCGAGTTGTCATGAAATAAGTGTTTTATTACCTAACCTACTATATAATTTCTTTAAAATCAATGGATTTTAAATGCATTGACAACAGTTTGCAACAAATCTTGGAACCAAAAAAAAAGTTAATATATTACTCATATTCTCGTACCAATTGGTGTAAAATCAGAAAAAATATAATTATGCACTAAATTGATGTTCACATGTATTGTTATATTAACAGGTTAATGATGACTTGAAGGTTTGAATATAACACGCTGATTCAGATGTTTAATGAAAAGCTCTAAGAAGTGAAACAAGAGGCCCAGGGACCACAGCGCTAATCTGAGCACATCGGCTAGGAAAAAAACATATCAGATCAGAACTGAAAATTAACTTACGTTGGGGGGGGCTTGAAATTTAACCCCCCAGGGGATCATAATTTCAACGAACTAGAATCTACATTATCTGAGGATGATTCCATATAAATATTACTAATCATGGCTTTGAAATACTTGAAAAGAAGATTTAAAAAGGTTTCCCTATATATTCCTATGGTAAAACTTTGGTCGGCCATTTTGGCCCCACCCTACCCCTGGGGGTCATGACTTGAATAAACTTGAATCTACACTACCTGAGGATGATTCAACATGAGTTTTATCTTTCCTGGCCCAGTGGTTCTTGAGAAGAAGATTTTTAAAGATTTTTCCTATGTATTCCTATGTAAAACTTTGATCGGCCATTTTGGCCCCGCCCTACCCCCGGGGGTCATGACTTGAACAAACTTGAATCTACACTACCTGAGGATGATTTCACATGAGTTTCATCTTTCCTGGCCCAGTGGTTCTTGAGAAGAAGATTTTTAAAGATTTTTCCTGTATATTCCTATGTAAAACTTTGATCGGCCATTATGGCCCCGCCCTACCCCCGGGGGTCATGGCTTGAACAAACTTGAATCTACACTACCTGAGGATGATTCCACATGAGTTTCATCTTTCCTGGCCCAGTGGTTCTTGAGAAGGAGATTTTTTTAAAATGCCATTAATTTTTCTTTAATTCATGATTATCTCCCCTTGGAAAAGGGGCGTGGCCCTTCATTTGAACAAACTTGAATCCCCTTTACCCAAGAATACTTTGTGGCAAGTTTGGTTGAAATTGGCCCAGTGGTTCTTGAGAAGAAGATGAAAATGTGAAAAGTTTACAACGACAACAACAACAACGACGACAGACGACGGACAAATTTTGATCAGAAAAGCTCACTTGAGCCTTCGGCTCAGGTGAGCTAAAAAGCATTTCCCAAATTACCCTCAGAAAAAATGTTCTGGGCTCTTATTTTAATTGATATTAAATTGAATACATATTTAAATGGGTATCAGAAATACTTTTTAAATGATAATTTCAAATTGAAAGCCATGAAATTGCTTCTTTTTCTACGTTATTATAGTTGTAAAGTACGGGAAATTAATTATGACGTCATAATGGATCAGTTCAGCCAGGAAACAGTTCATTCTATGACCAGGCACAGTGAATCAGGGAACAGTTCAAAATGCCTTATTACAATTTATATAGTAGGTTAGGTAATAAAAGGAAATAATATACTCTGTTGTGTTTGTTTAATCCACTTTTATTTTCAAGTGATTCATGTACTTCCTGTTTGCTTCTCATTATTCTCTTAATATTTTTATAATTTTTTTTTTAGTATAGCCTAGATGTAATCATAACAATATGAATGAGCTTTAGGACGCGAACTGCTTTTTCATCTAAAGGGGACTTAAACAGCACTTTGGAGGAACTACTGTATACGTTCCAAATCAATATAAAACAAAAACCTGTTTGAAAGAAAGGAATTATGGAGAATTTCCTGTTACCTTAATATCTATATTATAAAAAAGGAATAAAAAGCTGTAGTGTTTATCCTCAAACCTGTTGTTTTCGGAGTCGGCACCATCATTGTTGTCGGGATGTTGAAGCCGGACACCCTCTGTAGAACTTTTTGCTGATACACATTGATGACTTTTTTGCTAATGAGGTTCTGAATGACTCTTACATTACTGCTGAGAACAGTAGAAAGATCAGCTGGTGGAATAATAGCGTCAAAACGTTTCTTCACCGCTGGCTGGGCAACATATTTGATCAAAACATCCAAGATCAAAAAATTTCTTTCCTCTTTTGTAAACATGTAGCTCCTTTCCTCCATTTCACTACGTTGTTAGATAAGAATTAAATAAATACTATTTATTTAGGATGTCAGCCTTGCACATAACGCCACAACGATTGTTATTAACAAGATAAACACTGCATATCTGCATATAATCGATAAGTTACACAGGGAAATTGTTTTACAAAAGATAAAATGTTACAGTTTTTCCACGGTGTCTTATATCTTCTTTAAAAAGTGCGAAAACTAGAGAGAGGGGGGGGGGGGGGGGAGATACAAACATGTAATAAAATATTTGGGGATTTTTTTGCAATAAAAAAGAGAAAAAAGATGCCAGGACACCTTCAGAATATCTTATACACTTTATGATGGAAATTCTTCATTCGTTCTTTTTCCAACATCATGTAGCATCTTATAGATTTAGTATGTAGATTTAATATTCACATTCAGGAAAATATATATTTTTCATATTTTATTACCTCGTTTCTTTCTGTTATTTTGAATCCAAAAGTATTTCGACCTGTTGAAACGCCATTTCAGCTGAAATCATTAATCATTAACTTTCAAGTTCACATACTGTAAATGTATTATATTTAGCGTGTACGATATTGTCGGAAATTCATTTTTGAACGAGTTAGCGTAGATTTAATTTAGCGCATTTCTCAATGCTTTTATTTATGTGCATATGTGCAAGACATTTAGCGTTGTACAGTACTTGAATTAGCGGAAGTTCCTTTCCGTCAAAAGCGCTAAAAAGAATACACAGCCAAATGTAATATGCTTACAGTAAAAGATACTGAAAAAAATCCGCATTGATATCTGAGATATTAAATTCTGCATACAGCTGAGTTTTTTAGCACCTAAAAATATCTCTTATTCATTCCATTACAAAAATCATAAGATTGTTAACATTTTCCACTAACAATATTAATAATTAAAATTTTAGATTATAAAAATAATAGTGTATAATTATTTTCATTTTATTTTATATATAAGAAAAATATGTTCTTCGCAAACTTGCTGGTGAGAAAGAGAAAATTCTAAAGTTCTCTAGATCTGGAGTACAGACCTCCAACAAAAACTAATCTTTAAGCGAAAGACGAGGGGGCTTAGATTGGAATAGTAGCATCTAAAGAATATTTAGTGCTGCGAATCCCCATATGCTCCAACAATGCACAATTAGTTAAATACGACATAGAGCTATTAAGAAACGATCAACTTCAAAAAAATATCTTTATTTAGTCAATAACCAAAATATTGGTCGCCTGCGTGGCGCATTGGTAACAGCGTCTGCTGTAGACTCGCGAACTATGGAGTTGTCGCGGGTTTAAATCTCATCTTGGGACGTAGAGACCGGTCCTTTGGACGAGACCGTATAAACCGAGGTCGCGTGCCGCAGTAGTTGTTAGTATGGAAATGGCTTTGAGTGCCGAGTATACAGTAGGTAAAAACAAAATTGCAGATCTCCTTCGGCAAGTGCTGGCTTCTCCATATGAGTGAAAATTATCGAGAGGAAGGTTAATTAACAATCAAACAAAGATACAAAGCCAGAGGATAGGTCAGATCTAGCACCCAAAAAGTCGAATTGTTCCACAATATACTTTAATAAATTGAGTTAAACGGGAATGAACCTTCTCAAAGAAAATCCCCCCCCCAAAAAAAAAAATCAAAATTATTTTCATAGGGACGCCAAGGGTATACATGTATCAGCACGTCAGCTCCTTTCGACTTCGTGGAGGTCGAATGACAATTGCTATATTTAGATGGATCGTATATGTACGCTCAACACCTTGAAATTAGACCACAACAAAAAAATCCACTGGTATCAATTTTATGGCTGCCTTGTTGCAACGCATCCTGAAAAAAAAACTCACTTTGAATATTTTTTTTTTCATTTTTTTTTATAATTGGGACAAAATCAGCGTACTTTGTTGATTATAAGGCAAAACGAAACTAAAACATGTAATACTCAAATAGTTTGACCAAGAATTAGAGTCATTCCAATATTAAACTATACAGTGTGTAAAAGTATATACTGTAACTTTAGAACATCCCTGGAAACTAAAGTGCTGGATTTTGAATGCCTGAAACACCCTTTATTGATTCAATATATTCATATGTACTCGAAACAAAATACACGTTAAAGTGTGACACGTCTCTTTGACATTTGGATATTGCTGTTTTCAGTTAAATTGTAACTGTAAGGTTTTACTTTATGTCACGATCTATTTGACAGCTGCGCTCAAGGTAAATAGTACACGCCTCCTAAACGCAAGCTTCACGACTGGAACTTTCTTCTTATCCCTGATTGGTTGCTCGTGCAACAAACTGTTTCCGTGTCAATGTTGATAATATGAGTTGACCAATCACGTGAATTGTTTACTCTGGATGTATCTGATGGAAAAGATCGTGACGTTACGTACAACTTTACAGTTAACTACAAACAAATTTAGGCCGAACTTAGATAAAACATTTTGTTAAACACGATGACTTCAAATTTCCTATCGCCAACTTCCCTTATTTTTGTAGCAATAAACTATTATCAGCTGCATATGGAGTTGCAGTGTCCCAATGGATTCGATACTATCAAACTATTGACAAATTAGTTGATGATACATGAACGCAAGGATATCGTTTTAGGTTCGCAAAACATTTTGTTGACAAAAAAATCTTGCACCAAAATTGTATTGTTACAATGCATTTATGAGCTTCTTGTTTGTTCATTATCTTAATTTTTATATATAATATATATTCTAATAATCTCAAATTAAGAGTTGAATACCATCTTTACACGTTTGAACATGATCCATGAACTTGAACATTTCTTAAATCATTCGTAATACCTTATTGCGAGAACTTTTTTTCGCTTTTGATCACTGAAGCTGAATACGATTCGTAAAAACAATTTGTCGGTCATATTCGATCAATCTCTGCTATATTTCCGGGCTTCTTACTTAGTCACTTACATTTAATAGGTCACTGTTCGGACTTCTGAAATACAGCTCTCGGTAGCGACAAAAAATAACTGTGTACTTCTTCTTATACAGGAAAGTAAGATAACAAGAACACTTACAATAGTTAGTATATGTACTTCATATGCATTGTTTGCTATCAAAAACTAGAGCCAAGGTTTAAAGTATACGAAGAACCACCGTACTTTCACTTGCAGATAATGAATATGCATTGTGTTATCTTTTTTCATTGTTTCATTGTTTCATATCTAATCTTCAGATACGGGAAAAAATGTATGGACCTACTGATATGTTTTCGTTCATTTAATAAAGCACTGATTGTTCCACTTAATATGAACAAAGCTGCTATATACATGAAATACAGTTGGTGAAGCAGGTATGTAAGCATAATTATTATTAAGATGGATAAAAAAACCATTCAATTATAAATTACTTAATATTTACATTACAAATGCATTTTTCATATAAAGTGTTTGGGAATCTACGGCATTCAAACCGCCATAACAAGGACATGGGGTCAAAAGGTTAAAGCATGCGTTTTATTTTGACGTCACAAACGTTGAACGCTGTGGAAGTGCAACGTCATAAGCTAAAATGAAAAATCAGGCTCACTTAGAACAGAAGCTGTTGCATTTGCTCTTCCATTAACTGTAACTTACCCGAACGATAATACAGGCATTTTGAAATAGAAATCACGTTTGCGGTGAAAGGCAAGGAGTTAAAAATGTAAATATAAGCAATGAATCGTTATTTTTTGAAAGACATAGTCTCATAACTACAAAGGTGTGTACAACAAATTTTTATAACGTGCTGAAGCGCGTTATTTAATTTCTTTGCACACTCCGTTGCAGTCATGAGACTATGTCTTTAAAAAAATAATGAATTTATTGCTTAAACGTGTACTACTCAGGTGATAATTACGAGTAATACACCTAAGAAGACTACTGTTATACTCTATACAGGTGACAACACTGGTGTGAAAATCACAACTTTTGCTAGATGAGATTTAGACATGGTGGAATAAACGCAAAACTAAACTATTGTAACTCGTTCCCTCCAAAATTCCCATTGTGTATAAAGATATTTTTCTCTCTTTTCTGTTTCTTTTTATCAAGCAATTGAAGAATTAAAAAAAAAAATTAAAATTATCCATCTACTTCTTAAACATCATAGGAGAATGCATTATATTATTTACTTAATACTTAACAACACACCAAAAGGTATTGTGAGCAATGAGCTCACTAAATGATACCCCCGCCTCCCATATGGTTATTAAAGTAAAGTCCATGTTTTGCACTGGGAGACCCGAAATAAGTGTCAGATCAAAAAGTAAAATAAGAAGTCCACAATGGCATTATGTAATAAAGAATCTTTGAAAGTATCATTTAATTTTATTCAGTGGTATAGGAGGAGTTGCGGATAAGAGATGGGTACCCTTTAATATTATAGAAAATATGGCCACGGTCATGTTTTGCTCTGGAAAACCCAAAAATGTGTGTCCCATCAAAAAAAAAGGAGGTCACAATGGCACTTTATAACAAGATTCTGTGAAAGTATCATTAAATTTCATTCAGTGGTGAAAGAGGAATTGCGGATGAGATGTGTACACCAAAGCGTAACGTACGGACATCCCGATCACTATATACCCTCCCGCTTTTCAAGTGATGTAATAAAAACCAGTAGTGAAAAACAACACATACTGAGAACCAAGCAAAGTATAATGTACAAGATCATAAAATTAAAAAAAATAGTTTAAGTCGTTTTAATTTCACGGTGTTAAAATTTCACGATATCTCAAAGAGTACTAAATGCGATAGTTTTAATTTCACGCTGCAAGAAATGAATTCAAATTTTGCATAAGGATCTAAACGTTTCTAAGAAATAGTAATAGAATTTACGATGGGTTTAACTTCGCGGAAAAATGATAAATCCCGAACATAGCGATATTAAAACCATCGTGATTATTTGCCAATCTACAGTATGCAATTCGGGTATCTGACGTGTTTGAAAATATGCATATGATATGCTTATGATACTTATATATAATTGCTTCGAAATGGGAGTTGAGGTTAAGTCATCTGTTTTATGCTTTAGTTTAGGTGTTACAATGCTATGTAAACGAATAAAACAAGTCTTTTCTTTTGTAGCTTGCACGAACATTTCGATGAGAACAATATCTTGAGTACTCATTTTGCCAATAACGAAATGGAAAACTGTGCAATATGTCTTGAAGAAATTCGAAATCCGTGTATCTGTGTACCATGTGGACACAGTTTTTGCGACCCTTGTATAAGACTGTGGAAGGAAGATACATGCCCATGTTGTAGAGTTAGGATAAGGACATACATTCAAGGTAATAAAATGCCATCATTTAGACATGGTGCAGGAGACTGGTATGATCATGTATCATACAGTCAAGCACTACTCTTTCAGGTAAATTAGAAAGAAATAAAAATGTTGAAATATTTAACCCTTGGAATTACACATGCATGCTATCAATGACTTTTTTATTTTTGTTTCTAAACGTTATTGTAATCAACTCAAATTACTTTTTCATATGGTTTTGCAGATACCAGAAGACCTAATGATGAAGAACAGGACCTATTTTTGAAATATTTCTTGCATGTAGGCCTTGTCATGGTTGCTTTCGGACTTGTTCTTTACATAATATACCCCATATCTTATTTTATTTTATCATACATAGTATACCCCTCTGTTATGTACATGTAAGAGTTTATTTTTGCTTAATTTGGTGCTGCTTAGGCTGACAAGACCCGCTATTTCTACGGTAGTAGAGACAAGTATTTGGTACCCCTCTCTGTCCGCCATTTTGTCACTGCCATTAAATCATTCATATAATTAGGTATAATTATACATTGTATATATACGAGGGTCGTTCAATAAATAATGCAAAGTGCCATCTAAAATTATGACAAGTACATATGTGGCAACGCACTTTGAAAAAATTACGCACTTTGAAAAAATTTTTCAAAGTGCGTTAATTTTTGGGACAAGGTTAACGCACTTTGAAAAAAAAAAATTTTTTTCAAAGTGCGTTAATATGGACCATATTAACGCACTTTGAAAAAAAAATTCTTGGCTTAGTCAATATTCCTACAAATCTTAAGTATGATAACTTATCATTTGAACCTGATTTGATACTTTTTGTCCCCCGCTTGAAAAGTGGGGGTATTAATTTGGGTCTACCTGTCCGTCCGTCCGTCTAGCTGTCCGTCCATCCGTCTTTCTGTAACGCTTTCGTTTCCACACGATATCTCGACAACCCTTTGAGCTTTTGCAATGAAATTTAACATAACAGAATCCCTGTGGCCTTAGGAAGACCCCTTTTGAATTTGGGGTCAAAAGGTCAACATTCAAGGTCGTAAAGAACTACGAACAATAGTATTATTCTTCCGCCTATCTGTAAGTCAATTCTCAAAAGTTAACATCTTGGAATGATTCTCAAATTTTTTATACATATTTATATGAATTTTCATAAAACCTTACTTATTTGGGATACCAAAGAGAGATAACTCTATAATTTTGGCAAAACTTGTGTTTTCCACTATAGAAATCAACGGAAAACTGAAAATATTTTTTAAACAACCCCCCCCCCCCCCCCCGTGAAACAAAAATTCCTTTTTACAGATAATATGGACTGTTATTTTACAAATTTATGCCAAAGCTTTTTGTGTTTCACGGGGGGGGGGGGGGGGGGGGCATATGTTTATATAGACAAAAAGCGAAAAAAAAATCTTATTTTTCACCAATTTTAAAGCTATTTAAAACTGAATAATTGTATTTTATTAATTTATATATGCTTTATTTATTTGCGTAAAACATGAGAAAAGATATTAGATACATGTTAAATGAACAATTCCTATGAAAATATCATGTAACTAAAGTTAAATACCTGGAGGTTAACAGAGAGATTATCAGATATGGTATCAAATTAACATCGAAAAGCAGACAGGTACATAATATAATTAAATGTAATTAATGTAATTAATATTCTGATTTTCCTGAAAATGAACATAAATAGACTTTGAGATTTAAAAGATAAAAATTTCGATTTACTACAGACTTCCGTGTACAGTGTTTATATTGTATTTAGAATGCACTTTTTTCAAATATCATTGACACTTAAGTTTACGAGTTATAATAATAGATACATCTGGGTGGGAATGATAAAGAGTTGAGCTGGTAGACCTTAATTCAGCCAGTCTTTTCTTCGTTGTCCGTTTCTAGGTTTTCTTCAATCCATCAGTTTTTAGAAAGAAACACATCAAAGTAAGGGCACCGCAAAACGGAGCATTCCTTCCCAAAAAGCATGCTCAATAAATCAAGGCAGCATTTGACATCGATCGCGATACAAATTACATCAATTCCACACAGAAAAAAATAACATACACATAAAGTAATAACACACATAATCGCATAACTATATCCCATCATACGTTGCGAGGGGGTAATACTGTTGTCTATTTCTAAAATATAAGTCTAATTCCTTTTGTTTCATGAAAATTTTTTCAAAGTGCGTTAAATGTTTACATGGTGTAAAACTATGATGTACAGTCTTAACGCACTTTGAAAATTTTTTTCAAAGTGCGTTGATTTGGTCCCAAATTCAACGCACTTTGAAAAAATTTTTCAAAGTGCGTTAACCTGGTCCCAAAAATTAACGCACTTTGAAAAATTTTTTCAAAGTGCGTAATTTTTCAAAGTGCGTTGTAACATACGTAATACATATTTTTACTACATGTAATTTCAATCCCTCGAGGCATTCTCTGTCACCCTTTACGCGTGTCTTAGGTATTTGTACCCATGAACAGAAAACCTCAGCATACTCATCTTTAGGGATGCCCCAAAGACACTGATTAATATCATTTCCCATGACATATCTGATATTGTACAATCTTTCTTTGGTTGCTTTCACGCTTTTAGGGCATGAAAGATTTCAAAATGGCTCGGATCTAGCAAATATGGGTGATGCAACTTCTCTTTTCTTTCCAAATTTTATTTATTTCTTCAATGAGCTTTTTTGCCACTGCGTTATCAGGTACAGGGACGTATTTGACATCCTTTTCAGGAAATCTGTTTAACTTTCCTCAGTGCAATTTGAACTTAAAACTTTATAGAAAATCTGTTTAACTTTCCTTAGTGCAATTTGAACATAAAAGTTACAACTGATGGTCCTAAATTTGAATGTATGTTGAACTCATGTTTTACCAGACCTCTTGATATGCATGAAAACTATTAAAACATGTTTAGAGCCCTTTTTCTTCTTTACCATAATATAATGACACCATTTTCTTTGATTCCACATTTTTATAAATGATATGTATCCACTATAAATAGGGCTCCCATGTTTCGTCATCAATCAGGTACATGCAAGTTTATCAAATCTTCTATTTTGCTAAAGCATTTGTTTATAAATCGACTGTTATGATGAAATGTTAAGTGTCTTACAATTTCTTTCAGTAAAATTATAAAATTTTCAAATATCATTTCTCACACAGCATCGATATTTCGTGATGTACCCATAAATTTCAATCGACACGTTTGACTGTTATATCTTAACCCTCCTTTGGAATTGTTGATTCGATCAGAAAACTATACAGCGTTAAAGGTAATTTTTTTTCCTCATATAAAAAAATTTCTTTAATATGATTTCTTCAGCGATTTCTGCAAAAAGCGCAAGTTTTACAAACGCTCTCATTTTCATCTTTTTGGCAGTGATTATTTAAAAACAGTTTTCAGCCCAGTGTAGTGACCATGCTCACATTAACAGTGCTTTTTTGCGAGAACAAAGGAAAATTCAGTGGTTTTTTTCTGTGAATAGGAGTTCATTAATAGAACTTTTCAAATGTGAAAAGAATAGAATTAGGTATTTCTATATTTAATATGATAAACAGTATATTGCTTATTACATGTACATATTGAACGATCCTTGTATATTGCTTTGAATTGGTTATTACAATTGTGATTAAAGGTATCATACATTATGTACAAATTTTCATTTAATCGACCTATTTAAAAAGAAATAAAACTTTATTGTTGTTTTCATTTTACATTTTTTGTTTTATTTTTTGTTGTGCCTGAAGTCATCGCGCATTGTTTTCGTATTAATCCATAACAAATAAAACAGTTTTTTTGTTTTATTTTATTCATTGTATTAATGTTCCCTAGAATTAAAAATATCTATAAGCTACACGTGAGTGGGTCCAATTGTATCCCAAATCCACTTTAGTTTGTGGATTTGTTTAAGAAAGCATTGAAGAAATTTTTACCTCTTTTGAGTTCGTCAAGGCATACAGGAAAAAACCGAAAAATCTTTTCAAAAACAACTGTTACAAGGCAATTATAGAAGCATCAAAACAGAATCATAATCCCAGTGGAAGGGGTGGACAGGCCCACAATTTTAAGTACGGATATCACGATAGAAAATAAAAAAAATGAATAAGAACAAGGTACGATTTCAATTCAAATCTGGTAATTTATTTTCCTAAAATTTTAAAGTGATGTAAGAAATTAAAATTCATCCATTCTGAATAAGTGAAATTCCATGCAGTAAACAAACAATACAAAGAAAAGAAAGATAAAGATACCACAGCATCTGAAACATCTGTTTCATATTTGGATATTTTACTTGAAAAGACGTTAATGATAATCTAATGACCAAGCTCTATGATAAACGTGATGACTTTAACTGTTCTATCGTCAACTTCCCTTACCTATGTGTAGCAACCTCTAATGATAAAACGCCGCTTAATTAAACAAATATCATTAAGCATTGCAATTGCAACGCTCAATGCCATAAATTATTGCATTAATAGCTGACATTTTCAACCTTTAATGCTAAATCGCCGCTTAATGATAGAATTATATCATTAAGCGTCACAAATGCAGAGTAACACTGACGCCAAATGAAACAAGCAAATATCGACATATTCGACGCTAAATGATACCCACTAGTGTATCATTAAGCGTTGCAGCTGCAACTTTAAAGATTAAAAAAAATTGTCCCCACTCCCAATTCGGGATCTTGTCATTTTTTAAAAGTAGATCAAACTTCAAGGAAATGTCACAGGTTCAAAATTCACAGTGTATGAAGAAAGTTCTTATTACAGGCAATGCACTTATATAGATGAAAGGCTGAAAGCCCTATCTCTTTTCATTCAAAAGATCCGTCGGATTTATAAGGTTAAAGTTTTTGAAAGACTGGCAAACCCAGAGACGAATGAGTGATAATTTATCCTCGCTTTCGCAAAAGTGGGGGGTGGGGGTGGGGGCAAACGGAATAAAAAAAATATGTATATTTAACAAGATATGCTTGTAAAACTCTGATACCCGTATGACAAAATAGCGAAGGTTACATTTCTCAAAATCAAAAGTACGTGTAAGGCCTCCTCACAAGAAATACAATTATGAATCACGAAAGCTTTTGCACTACATGTAACTGTTCATAAGTTATGACCAAGGTTAAAGATTTTGAAAATGTAGGTCAAACGCCAAAATCAAAGTTTAAAAGATGTTGGTATCCTATGAAAGGTCTGGTCTTGTCTCACATATTACATATGTGAATTATGAAAGCCTTAGACTAATATTACCGTTCATAAGTCTCATCTTTATTTATCGCTATCATTATTTACTATCATTCGAGTGACTCATGCGACTTAAAAAACTAACAATTGGTATTAAACACGTCAGTGATCCAAAAACAGGTTTTTTTTCGAGGAAAAGACAGTAAAACAACAATGGAATTTACGAAATGATTACTTAATACTATGTTGGTGAAATCTCTGTAACATCAACTTCTCTCTCAGTAGCCTGTTCATGTCTAGGTTTAAAAATTAAAAACAAAAGTCTGTTGATGTAAACACCATCTGCGCAGGTGATATTTACAGGTAAATATTGCTACATAAATATGAAAAAATGGCGCTGGAAAATCCGAGTTCAACTCGTTTGTCAAATAATTTTGCCTTTTTTTTTTTGTTTGAAAGCTTGCCTTTCTTGTCTATAGTCAATAAAACATCTAAATATTAAAAACGGATATGGTATACGGTTTGGCTGCTAACAGGTCTACTAACGCAGAACAATAATTTTTGCCCATACAGTTTGTTGGAAGACCTATAATGGTCCTTTTCACAAAAAAATCTTATAACTACATGACCAACATTTTCCAATTATCCAACAAATATATACATTTTGGAAGATCACTAAGAGTATTACTTAACAATTAAATTACACAAATTTGTAAAATATGCTGAAAAAGATATTTTTTAATCTAAAACTTAGAGAGTACAAAAATTTTTGTCTTAGTTGTAAGACTTTACTGTGAAAAGGGCCACTGGTTTCGATAGACTACATAAATATTGTCAATCTTTTTATATCAACTTCAGAGCACTTATGTTAAGAATCAGAATCATTTCATAGAAGGTAGTTTTGTATAGGTCACACATTATATGATATAATTCCGAAATATATTTTTTTAATTGAAAAGGCAATTGTCTAATATATATCAGAAAGCGCAGTTTTTAATTTTTCGTGAAGAAAGGCTGCATAAGTGTAAAAAAAACCATACTGTTCGTTTTGATATTAATATTTGAGGATGCCCGAGTTTCTGATTGACAATGTATTAATTTTGTGACCACAAAGACTGACTCATTTGCTTCGTAATTAGATATTTTAGTTGAAAGAGACGTTAATGGTAATCTAACAACCAAGTTAAAAAAAACGTGATGACTAAAAATAACAATCGTCAACTTCCCTTCATTATGCAGCAATATACTTTAATCACCAGCATACAGGTTTTACATTTCTTAGATGATTTGATACATGAGATCATGCTCAACATACATGTATAAACAAACAGAATTGTTGTACGAATATTCCCGATCATTACAAGGAGCACACAGCGGGTGTTTCCGGTCAGCAGAGAATGTTCACTCCTCAATGACACATGATCCCACCAATGATGTTTCGGAGGTCTGTGTTTGCCCTGTTTCGGTTTTGTATTCTTTATAGACATTTGAGCTTTAACGCTGTAAGCTAACTCCTTATATTTCGTTAAAAAGGTTTGCCAACCACAGCCGTCCCTACCCAAAATTTGAATTTTCGCGGCTGGTGTTTTTTCTCCGATCTTTTTCTCACGGGGGGTGAGAAGGGGGGGGGGGGGGGCTTCCCCCAATACTTCAACTTTCAAAATCGATGCTACGTCACTGAATAAAAAATGCAAAATGACACATTTTCTTAATGTAAGTAAATGTAAAGATTTATTCTGATTTAGCAGATATATAATAACAGAATTAGTATGATTTCACGATACGCATATGCATCAAATTATCAGAAATGTCAATAGAAAATAAGTACGTGATATTTTCAGACTCTGAGAGTCGACTCCACTTATCTTTGTAAAGCCTTTTTTAAGTGCTTTACACTACAAAACATGATACGATTTAAAAAGATCTATTTTTTTTTCTTTTGAAAATCGTTATGATATGATATTTATGTCGATATTGAGAGAATGGTTCAGTAAGTTTATCTCCATTACTCTTTTCAACATACCCCGAAAACACCTTCGAAATAAATGTCGAATTAATTTGAGAATGACATTTCCAAGAAATGTAAATACAACAATCATAAATCTGTAAAAATCCTGGAAAAAAGCGAAATACAAAACCAGTATGACAATATGATGTTGTACAATAAAATATATAATTGACAGGAATCTACGCTTTGTCACGTAGAATCTCCAGTCGAAAGAAAATACAACATTTGCTATCATTCCTATATAATACCCAAATTTTGTATATTGTTCTGCATTCAACCCATCCTTTGTAATACCATCATATAAATACAAACAGCCAGAGGAAAGATAGTTCATTAAAGCATACGCGCTTAAGAGAATAAGAAGGGACCACCACGGAAAAGCTTGAATAAATAATACATATAGGAACCACCGAGTTATTACATCAAACATCTTCTCTAGAAAACATGCAATTTTGCAAGGAATGGAAACAAACAAGGTTTGACCTAGACAAGTGCAGCATCCATTACGTTTACAATCAGGCATATCCCAGTAATCAGCTGCTACTTTTGAAATCGTTCCTTTCTCTTTCACCTGATAATATGCATCCCGAACATCTTCTTCTTCGTCTAGTGTAAAAGATACACTAGCAATGCTGACGGTTACCCCTAATAAAGACGCCAACATGGCCCATTTTTCATGATTCAGGGGTCCTGCGAAGAAAATAATTTAGTGATTAAATTATACGTCTACAAAGTTATATTTTTGATACAGTGCTTAGGCAATAATAGAAATGTAATTCTGTGTAATTGTAATAATTCTCTGTGTATGTATTGAATGCGTTAAACTTTTTTTTTATCACATCATAAAAGACAATTAAAAATACACAGTAAAACATGCTTACAGCCAAAGTGCCAGAAAGGAATTTTAACGCTATTGTAAGGGTACCTGTAAAGTGCGAAACGAAATAGAAACGAAACGAAATCTGCCGAAACGAAACGAAATCTGCCGAAACGAAACGAAACCTACCGAGACAAAACGAAATCAAGACGAAACGAAACAAAATCAAAACGAAACCTGCCGAAACGAAACAAAAAAAAACTTTCAAAAGGTTTTTTTTTTTTCAAATCAAGGTACATGTATATGATCATATATGTGTAACTGCATGCCTTTTTTTTCTTCAAATCAAATTTATATAGTTCAAGCACTTTTAATACATGTACTAAGTATAAAATTTATGACCGATAAATTATGCTCCCTTCTCAGTCTAATGATGTACAAGTATTAACATGTTTGCCACTGGGCAGCTGCAAATATGCACGAGCGTACTATGCATGAAAAGTTTCAATATGTGCAGTATTTTTAAATTTTTATATTTTACTCTTATTTTCAGTCTTTATTTATCTAGATACAACATATCTATCAAAATTGATGTTACATGACATGTAAAGGCTCAATTATGTACTGGTCGAAATAAAGTCACTGTACTGTTGTTTTGCAAATGTCTTAAAACATAGGATAAACCAGAGACTTAGAGTATTTAGAATTCCATTCCGAGGTGTCTGGTTTTATTGTTCAATCAGATTATACACGTACAGATAACTCCAACCGGAATCTTGTGTATCCTTTCTACGTCCGTACGTACGGTCCTATTCTTTATCAACGTACATGTAATTTTCGAGCAAGAAATAAGTGGTTTGCAATAAAGAGGCTAGATCAGACACGGCTAAAACGATTTAACTGACAAGAAAAAATCACTCGAAGCGAACGATGTCATTTTTAAGTAGGCAAGTAGGTTTAGCCCCCCCCCCCTTTTTTTTGCAAATATATATATATATATATATATATATATATATATATAAACGTTAACATTCTGAAAGTTTTGTTTCGTTTCGGCAGGTTTCGTTTTGATTTCGTTTCGTTTCGGTAGGTTTCATTTCGTTTCGATAGATTTTCGATAGATTTCGTTTCGTTTTGAAAGATTTCGTTTCGTTTCAGTTCGTTTCGTTTCGTTTCTATTTCGTTTTGCACTTGACAGGTACCCTTATTGTAAAACTACAAATGTCATGATTGTATTTATTGCACGTACTTTGAAGAAAAAGGTCCATGTCCATTTCATTATATTCAATAAGAAACTGAGGAAATCCTTCTATACAAATTTCAATTAGATGAAGAAATGTTAAAGCTTGAAGATACCATCTTTTACTCCATGTTTGTTTTCCTACGATCGTCAACCACCCGTATCTGAAAAAAATGATAACAAGCTGTCAACATACCTTAACTCTTAAATGGATTAGACAAGCCTTGTCAAATACCTTTTTTAAGTCCGTCAGTCAGTGAAATGGTACTCCGTGTCAAGGATAACAAACCCCGTGGCACGTAAAAGATCTCGTTTTTGGTTTTCGAAAAAAGTAGGCTTACTGGGGGCTGCCAGATTTGCACACTTTTGTGGCAGCATCGCGGGGGTATTGTACATTCTAAATTATGAGTCTTGCGGGTAGGGTGGGTTCACAATAATATAGGCTCTGTTTACTATTTGGGGGAAATATGGAAGTAATATTACTCTCCAGGTCTTAAAAAAAATTAAGAACTATCTATACTTTAAAAATTTCTAAAATTGCGATAAGGAATTACATTGTAAGTCTACGCCGATCTGTGACCAAGAGGGACGGGCCATGGGGATGCTGCACGATTTTTCGAACTATAATTCTAATAACAGAATGTCACTTTGATCGGATTTGTTAAAGTTTTCAAAATTGATAACCATATTTGTCATTGATATGATGTTTGATTTCAGTGAAGCGAATACTACTTTGCATATGAAATACAGAACCCATCAATATACTAATATAAATGATCGATTCACGGATACAGACTTCGTTATAAGCAGTTAACGTGGTCAGTCAAAGCACATTGCTAGCTTTTCTGTTCGATTCGGAATTAATCGTATCGTTTCTCATCTTTGTGTTATGATTTGGACCACGTTAAATGTACACCAACTGAGAAACCTTCGATATCAACTTAATATTACTATAAATTGCTACTTTGGGGATAATTTCAAAGATTTTTCCTATTTAAAAGTATAATATATATGCCATGTAAAACCTTCAGATGATCTGAAAAAATAAAAGCACATTGCACTTACAGATAAACCTTTGGAATAACTGCTAAAATCCAGATGAGAAATAAGTTAACATCCTTAGGGTTACATGTACAAGACTTCTCTCGTGACTCCTCAGATGATTCCGTTCGTGACTCCTCAGATGATTTCATTTGTATTTCCTCGGATGGTTCCTTCTGTAAATCCTTCATTGCAATTTTATAGAACGATCTTATTAATATTGCATTTAAAAACCATGCTATACTTCCTGGTAATAAAAGTAGTCCAGTTGTTTTCGAATCTAGTAAGAATATAAATTTGAAAAGAAGAAAGAAGTCTGCCCAGAAATCAAAGATATTAATTATCATCAAAACTGCATAAAATATTCGATAGACTTTGTCTACAATGAAATTGATACAGCGTCCTATACATTTACACCATGGAGCACAACACGCACAACACGATTCGTTTGACTCAATGTAAAAAAAGGATGCTACTAGCAAGCCATTTCCATCATTGTTCGAAATGGAAAATATATTGACTGAAACGTTGATGGTTCCCTCTTCGCTGGTCATGCTGGGTTCAAGTAAATTTGTAAAAATTTCTTTGAAGCAGCGCTGAGTTATAAGGATAATAAGCCAGGATACAGCCGTTAGACCAAGAGCAATGTAAATTTCAACGAGTGCACAATCAGTGTCTGAAAAAAAAATCAAATATAAATATAATGCTTTTAAGCAATTTGAGAATCTCATAACGACAGGTCGTGTTTGTTTGTATCATACTAGTAAGTAAAGAAGTATCCATAAAAGAGCGAAATATTTCAGTAAATTGCATTTATTAGTATTATTAAATTATCAAGTGATGATGTATGTGCATACTTTTTCGGCAAAGAACTGAAGAAATCTCCATCTGAAAAAAAGAGCAAGAAGTAAAACAAAACGAAATTCATTGGCAAGTTAAGTTTTAAATTGTATAACAGTAAGTTATCTCTTGACTGTAAAAAAGTTTTTTAAAAATCATAGCGAGCGCAGCGAGCGTCGCGAAGCGAGCTCAATAGACTAACGTGTAAGAACAGAGGAAATTCGGATTGAAATCTGTACATACGTCAGCCAAATTTCTCTGTGCAACATTCCCAGAATTCCTGCACTACCCAATGTCCTTTGCGCGAATAAATCAAAAATAGTAAAAAAAATTAAAGGAACATTGTTTCTTACAGAAATCTTAACGAAATGATTTTGCCTTACCTTATTCAAAAAAATACCCCCATGCCACAACACCGGCCTTCACCTTGCTCTTCGGAAATGATACAAATGACGTCACCGGAAACTTACGAATTTTGACGATATGCTAATTAAGTCATGTCGGTTGCTTCCGTGAAATAGATAAATAAATAAACAATAACGTAAAGCATAAAAAGCTTTCAGTTTGTAGAAATCTTTCAAAGAAACAAAAAATAACAATTTTTTTTCGACCCAAATTGCACTATCTATAGTTTCAAGCAGACGCTCGGCTGTCTCCGTAAGCTCCGACGAACTCCGTGACGTCGTGTGACGTCGTGTGACGTCACAGGTAGACGAGATGTCTCGTGCGGCTTGATGTTTGAAGTGGCTGATCAATTTTTAGAGTGTTTTTGATGGTACAACTGCGCTCGCCCCAACGGTCACACCGTAAAACATATTAGTATTTACATGTATTAAAATATCTAAATAAGATAAAAATTAAGGAAAAAAACAGTTTCAATTATCTGAATGCCAATGCCTTAATTTAAGGGTGTTGCCATTTTTGGATCCATTAATTTGATTAATGGTCAAAACTACATTCACGTAATAATTATACAGACTCAGCGTAAGAGGCGAGGTAAGGGTTATATATTGCCATTTTCATTATTACTTTTCGGTTCTCAGGGCTGCGTTTTACAAAAGGTCGCAAGTCATAAGTCTTTTAAAGTCCTAAACTTTGCCGAACTTAGGACAAATCGTACGACCGTTTTACAAAACGTGTCGTATCTTTAAATCGTAAGTACTAAGTCCTAGATTGACGTAAGTCGCAAGTTGTAGTGGAATTCTTTTACGTTTGGTGGTAAATTTGGCCTTAGATACTGCGCGAAAACCGACGCCGTTGACGTGCAGACGACAATATTCCGAAATGTCACGGAGAAGTAATTGATCCAACTAGGAAATAAACGCCCTCGTCGACGCGGTTTCGGACCGCGTCGACATCATAAGAGGGAAGTTTACACCCATACTTACCGTAGATAAGAAAAACAAAGCTTGAGAGGAGGTGAAAGAAAGTTAAGTCTGAATTTTAACTTTCCCGGATTTAAGTCATCCGCAAAAAATGCCGATTTAATACAATATACTACAATTCCTGTTACACTTTCGCGAAATTTTATCGTGTTTTCAGTTTCCGTGTATAGGTCTTTTATTTCTTTGTTGCTCTATGATGATAATGCTATGGGTTTTTTTCAGTGTTAATGCGTGAAGTAACGCGCAAAGGGACATAAAGAGTATAAAAAAGAAGTGGATTGATCTTCAATCTCAAACTAGAAAGAAAGGGGCTGTCCGACGGAGAGAGCAGAAAGGAACAGGAGAGGGACCACCCCCTGATTCACTGAAACCCTGGGAAGATAAGGTTTAATATAAATAATAAATTGTAAATATGTATTATGAAAATAAATTATGTTACGACACTAACTCAAAATTAATTTGAAGTTTTGTTAACCAGCATTTTTTCTGCACCCCCCCCCCCCCCAAAAAAAATGAAAGCTATATTTTCCCTCAAACGATTGGTGACTTTCTTTTTAATGGCATTCTGTACACCTAAGCTATTTCATGTTCTACATATTTTGTTTCGGACAAAATACATAGAAATCTCTTTGATGTTAGATTGTTGAAGTTCTGGACGAAGATATCATTGCGGGCATCAGGGGTGGTTTTGACAACACGTCAACAACCACCACATTATCTGTGGTCAGACAGAATGGAATGCACTTATATGAACATATAACCCCGACAACTTGACTTCAAAATCAATTCGGGTCTTGTTTAGGCCACATGAAGTTGCTATTTAAAGTTTCATTGCAAAACCTCAAAGGCTTTTCGAGATATAGCAGTGAATTTAAAATGTATTAGACAGACAGGCGGACACACCAAAATAAAAATCTCCTAACATTCACTGAAATCTGCCTCGGATGACAATAATTAGCGTTTACATACCTTAAGATCTCCTGCTGAAGGCTCCGTATTAAAAGCTCACTTTATAAAAATAATAGATAAATTTGAGCTTATCTAAATATTAACACACATTCTCTGTAAGCACCAAAAACTCTTGGAAACGACATGTCTCGGATTTTGATGAAATTTTCACCATAGGTGTGTCTTGGTACAAAACTAGTAAATATGGTGTCGGAAGTTCCACACGTGCACTTGGGTGCCATGGAGACAGATCCATTGAATTTGGCCATTTTTGGCCCATTTTGACTAAATGAAAACATGAAAATTGAGGAAATGTAAATGAATATTTATCGGTATCTAATATACTCTAACAAAAATCATTGGATCATATGATAACATGACATTTTAAGGTACACAGGGCATATAATCGTTTATTCTAGAAATATTCTTCCTGTACGAAAAAGGTCATGCAAACTGACATGGTTTCTAAAAATTTGAAAAATGGGGAAATTGGATTTTTTTGAGATCTTTGAGGCTAAATAAGAAAAATTGTCCGCGGAAATTTCCCAAATCTTATATGTGTTATTATACTTGGGAATAAGTTGTGTCATTTCATGAAAAAACATAAGTGGGCTTTTGCTCCTATTTTAAGTAACATGTATCTATAAATAGAAATATTTTAGAAAAATATGAAAAATCAAATTTTGGCAAAGTTTAAATTGTCATTAATGCATAATTAGAACGTATGTTGTAAAATTTGAAATTTCAATGACAAGAGCTGGACACCACTAGCTGGTATGGACAACGGTTGAGGGGAATTCCCATTTCTATTTTTAGTAACAGGTGGCTATATATAGAGATGTCTCTGAATATTAGGAAAAATGGCATTTTTGTTCTAATTGGAAGCTTCATATAAAAAGTTTTAACAAATATAAAGCTTTCTACAATATGCTTTCAGAATGTACATGTGT